GTTGGACCTGCCAGGGTGTCAAGATAGGGTAAAAGATGGGGTTCTAGAACTTCGTGGATATAACGCTGCGCGTTCATGTCACCTCTGATGAAGATTAAAGGTGACCTGGAACCATAAGCTATAGCACCCCAAACCATAACTCCAACAGTGTGATGAACATGTCTTTCAACAAAAAAACTGTGGATTCCTCCTTTCACCACGTCGCCTTCTAACCCTGGCACGACCATCGTGCATGCCTAAACAAAATCGAGACTCGTCACTAAAGACAATACTGTTCCATTTCTGATCCCAGAGTGACCGTTGTCTGCACCACTCAAGGCGATTACGTCGGTGTTCTCGAGTTAAAGGGAGGACCCAATGTGGCCGGTATGAAAACAAGCGACAACTTCTCATTCGTCGGTAAACACTTCGCATGCCAATAGGTCTTCCGTGTTCTGCAAACCATTCATTTGCAATGGACCTGGTAGTGGAGAAACGGTCGCTTAAGGCCAATAATCTTAGGCGGCGATCTTCACGGTCTGTTGTTCTACGGCGGCGTCCAGTGCCCCTTGCTCTTTGCGTACGGCCTTCTCGAAGCCATGCCTGACAACACCTAACCACAGTGTCTACACTTCTTTGCACTCTAACTGCAATTGCCCGAAAAGAAAGTCCAGCTTCCCGAAGTCCCACTATACGGCCCCTATCAAACTCACTAAGTTGACGAAATCGTACAGGTCTCCGTACTCTAGGCATCGTAACGGATGTCAAGAACCAAAATCCGCCAACGTTGATTCTTTACTGCGGCTGAAATATTCATTTTTGGAGCGTTAGTGAATTAAAAAAAAGCAGTATAAAAACCGGAATGTCCAACTGATAGGATGAACATTTTTTCACTTGTTATTTACGGTAAGATAAATACATTCACCAACTTTTATTAAAATAAAACCATTTAAACTGGGTGTTCGGATTTATATGTCTCTTAGTACCTATATCAAGGAGAGCATAAAGGCGTCCTACAATTGTAGGTGTAACATACCACGTCAATCGCAGCAGGTCCTGGGGAGAAGTTGTGCTATCTGCTTATCGATGGGAACTACTTTCTGCTAGCTAGGCTCCTTACCATATACTGCCTGGTTTTTCACCTGAAACTATCTCATCTGTGCTAGAGCTGTAACTGGAAGAAGACCATTATCCAGATAAGTTTAAGTTTAGGTTAAAATATTTGTAAAGCCTATATTTGTAAAGCCTTCGTACGTGTACCATGGTAAACGTTTTGCAGGGTTAGTGATCACGGTATAATAATTCTATTGACATATAGTTTTGGATAATATTTTTTCTTTTTAACTTGCTCTCCAGCGGTGGAGGATTATGTGCTGCTTGATTCGACAATATATTGTGATTTTTCTTTAATATCTTGTTTTATTTGGCTCTCTGTGTACAATTGATTAGGTTTTGTCATTACAATGAGATTCTTTTCTTTTGTGTGGGAGTTAGGCAAAACAAGTTCCGATTAAAACCTCGGGGATTTGTGGCTTAATCCGCTTTGAGTCACTGGCGCTCTTAACCCCGGCACTCTCCGCTTTATTGTGCTAGGACCTAAATTTGCACGTTACTTGACATGTTTTGCATTGGTGACCCTTGGACTTCATTTATAGTGGTTTATTTATTTATTAATCAATTAATTAAGAAAAAAAAAGAAAAGAGGAATCAACCATCATTTCCCCTTGTTTATAAAAAAAGGCATGCATCTTTAAATTTAAGACTGTACTGTTCGCACTTATAGATCCGATGGAACCTAAGACCGCATTCAAAGCTATTTATACTGATGAATCCTTTCCACATATCGGACTTGAATAAAGTCATGATCATTAGCAGTAGTTGTTAGAAAGTACGGTTATGCAGCGTACAAATACTACAAAAGAATACGACTATCTACAGATCTGGAGTTTATCGATCTGTCGGTTTTGCGAAGCTTTCCGCCCTTGCCGTAGTAGTACCTGCTGTCAAAATTTCATCAAAATACGAATGGTATTAAATTGGATGTACGTATGATCCGCCTACATTATTTATCAAACGAGAGATGCACGCACAGTAACGCAATGTTTTCTAGTCTAGTTTTCCAGGATTTTTCCTAAAGTTGACCTACTAAATCGACTGTAAATTTCATGTGTGACATATTCAAACACACACAGGCAACAAAGTGATTTATCAGTGTGAAGAAATTAAGCGAAACAGGGCATATCGAAGGCACGAATTTCCAATAATTAATAAACTGTTTATTTTCCACACTTATATAAGAGTGAACTTTAAAAATTAAATACCATGAATACGTGCTTTAATTTTATCTATATGACGTTGGTGCGATAGGTCATTAAATAGGCCTTTACAGAAACATTGTTTTATGTATCCTTACCATACACATAATTTATATATTGTAACGCATATCCGACGGAAAGGTTTCCAACACGATGTTGTTAACTGTGACGGAATACAGCAAGGACTGTTGCTGCACAGTGAGTGCTTGTCAGACAACTGAGGAAAATGTTACATTATGCTTTCGTGTCTCGTAAGGAGTACTAAATCAGATTAACTAGACAAGATGGACCATGTTTATAAAAAGTAATGGGAGAGCTCTAAAATATACTTAGAGCGAGTGAAAAGGTCCTCCACCTAGAGATAACAAATTTTGCTAGGTAACTCTTTTATTCTGTGGCAAATTTGAAAAAGTAGCTTTTCTGTGTGTATTTAAAAACAATAGTATGGTATGACTGTACAGTTTGCTGAAGTGGTTACGTCACCAGAAGACAATTTATCAAAAAAGCAATTTTTTCAATAAAGTTACAATTTGAAAGTTGAGAATCTTGACTGATTTTCTTACGGATTTTGAATACAACAGGTGCTTTAACTTTGAGCTATCATTTTGGTTTCTGATTGAAAATATAAATTTCAAAACCGAGTCTCTTTTTGCAATAACAATCGCTGCTGCAAACTGAAAGTGTGAGAGCTAATTTTTAGGGTCTTTTAGTTACCCAAAGTTTTTCTATAGACGCACTTATACTATTACTTTATAATTACTCAAAAACGTATTTCTCCCAACTTTGACGTTTAATAGAAAAGGTTACCCAGTAAAATGCAGCTCTATACAGCGATTACCATTAGTTTCCCTGCCTAAATATTTTGGAAGCTACGTATCCTAGAAAAAATTTTCGATCAAAAGTTGTAGGGATTCGAGGGAGCAATATGATGGTAATCTGATCTCCCAGTTTTTTTCAAGGTCAAGCGAATATTTTAAATCGGAATCCCCCTCTTTACACTGGAATTCAATGTAAAGTTTTCAAAGGAGATGCTCATGTTTATTTTGGACTTTGCAAAAGCAGAAAATATTACTTCCGAATGTGACCTTTTTTTCTACTCCAACTACCACGAAGGCCTAAGGCTTAAACACCCATGGGGTACCGTGGGGCTATAGGGGGATACAAGGGAAAGGGGGAACGCCACACGGACTCTGGCGAGGGAACACGTGTGCATGCAACATGCACATATTCTGGCCCCGCCTACGAGATCCGCCGGGTGGTACCCCCGCGTTCGACGGTCAGAGACCGACTACCACCTACGGACAGTCACAACATCCATAGTCAAGAGAAAAATTTCTCCTGGGACGGAATTCGAACCCGCACAGCGCACGGCGACTGATCAGGAGACCGAAGAGTCTACTACTGCGGCCACCGCTGCTGCCTGAACCTCAAAGAAGAGGTCATGTCCTTCTTGAATGTTATCTATAATGCAACCCTTTGATTTTTATGCCAAAATTGCAGATAACAAAAACTTCTATATTAAAAAGTGTAAAATTTTGACATGATCTTGAAGGTGATGGTGAAGGATACCTTCGGGTGAGCCTGCTGTCCAACATTTTTTCTAGAGGGAATTGTTTTCCATGTTTTGATTTGAACTTGAAATGGCATTGAAGATCATGGTGATGGTCATACTCGGACATGAAATTCCACCCCTTTTTATTTCCGGGTTTTTATTTGGAAATATTCGTTTCACTTTGCAATGACCTTGAAGGTCGCAATCAATATTAAGGTGAAGGACACCGTCACTTTGCCCCTTGAAACGTATAACCTTCTTCTAGAATGCGTAGTTTTGGAAATATTTAGGTGGGGAGATTAAAATGAAACACCCTATATATATCCCGATCTAAATCTCTTGTACCAAAACTTCCAATTTCCTCCTTGTTCTACGAATGCGATTTATGGTAGATACTTTCTTTGTCGCCCTCGCTATATGTGAATTATCTACATCCGCTGGGACGGAATTCGAACCCGCACAGCGCACGGCGTCTGATCAGGAGACCGAAGAGTCTACTACTGCGGCCACCGCTGCTGCCTGAACCTCAAAGAAGAGGTCATGTCCTTCTTGAATGTTATCTATAATGCAACCCTTTGATTTTTATGCCAAAATTGCAGATAACAAAAACTTCTATATTAAAAAGTGTAAAATTTTGACATGATCTTGAAGGTGATGGTGAAGGATACCTTCGGGTGAGCCTGCTGTCCAACATTTTTTCTAGAGGGAATTGTTTTCAATGTTTTGATTTGAACTTGAAATGGCATTGAAGATCATGGTGATGGTCATACTCGGACATGAAATTCCACCCCTTTTTATTTCCGGGTTTTTATTTGGAAATATTCGTTTCACTTTGCAATGACCTTGAAGGTCGCAATCAATATTAAGGTGAAGGACACCGTCACTTTGCCCCTTGAAACGTATAACCTTCTTCTAGAATGCGTAGTTTTGGAAATATTTAGGTGGGGAGATTAAAATGAAATACCCTATATATATCCCGATCTAAATCTCTTGTACCAAAACTTCCAATTTCCTCCTTGTTCTACGAATGCGATTTATGGTAGATACTTTCTTTGTCGCCCTCGCTATATGTGAATTATCTACATCCGCTTCCAGATGAATAAGATGCAGTGAGACTGAGTCTGCCATTAAAGGGGTAATGTAAGATAATCTAATTACGCTTTTATGTTTCCTGCTAACGATACGACCAACACTAGTATCGACGCCTTGAGTTTCTTTTTATTCTCTAACAGCTGAGAAGGCAGATCCTAAATACAGGTTATATATATATATATATATATATTTTCATATAGTGGATACTTAGAGTCTAAGAAGCAATTATACCAACCAGCTCTTGGTAGTGTATGGCTGGAAATTGTATACAGGGTCTTTCAGAAGGTCGCGCCGAAATTTCTAAGATAGCAAATACAAACAAAGATAACAAAAAAAGTTTTATAAATATGAGTCCAACTATGCTCCCATACCGAGATACAGAGCAATAAAGTTTCTTCACGGAATTTAAAAAAATATATAACCAGAGAACGGGTAAAGATACGATTTTAGACGTTCAGTGAGCACATCACCAGCAATAATCACATAGTTTCCAGGCCCAAACTAAATCAGGGAGGTAGAAATTTGGGTATCCGGACACCTAGTAGGAAATATTTTCGCCACTGACCTTTTCGGACAAAAAAGTGCATTTTTCAAAATACCATTCAATTTTGCATAAATTTTGTCAGAGAAATGTTTGTCTGATCACTTGTTTTGGAGATATTCAGGTTTGAATATTATAGGCAAAAACCTTAAATATTTTCATGGAGAGGCTTAGCCTGCTCTATTGGAAATACTATGTAACATGTAAAGAAAGCTATGGTACCTCATTATATCATTAATTGAATAATATGCGTGTTTTATCCTCAATCAGTAGCGTAGAAGCTAAAACTTCACTAAACCTTGTCTATGCACGCCACTGGTTTTCATGGCATACGGCTCCTGTTAAATTCTTGTGTTTGACTAAAATTACAACTATTAATTGTGGAACCAATCAATTTGCGTAAAATTCTTATTATTTTACTTCTGAAATTATCGGTATTTCTTTTCTCATCAATTGTTAGCAATCTCGGATACGAAGTATGAGGACGAAGAGTCTACTTTCTGCTTTCAGTTCTTTCCGTACAACGTCAGATATTTTCCAAAGAGTCAGAGAGTCTTTGTGGCGTAGAGCACGGGCTTGTGTTGGATTCAGAGGTGGTCAACACCTCTTTTAGGTTGGATGCTATAGCATTTATTCACCTTTATTTCTTCTTTTCCATGTTGTACCCATAAATTTGGAAATAAACACTAAGTTGTGTCAAATGTGACGTTTATTGTTATCGTATTTAACTCTAATTAGCTTTGTTTATTTATTTTTGAAATAAATGCTTACCTTGTTTTTAAGTTTCTTTATCTATAAACAAAAATGAATACTCCGTCAAAACCAGTGGCTTGCATACACAAGGTTTAACGACTGGTAAGCTCCTCCGCTACTGATTGAGGAAAAGACACGCATATTATTCAATTATTGTCGTAATGAGGTGACATAGCTTTCTTCACATTCCATATAGTATTTGTAATACCAAGCTTCACGGTGTTCTCTGATTAGGGGAGGCTAAACCTTTTCAGGATATCTTAGAATTTTAACTTAAATATTCGAACCTAAATATCTCCAAAACGAGTGATCTGACAAAAATTCATTGGGAGACAAAATTTATGGAAAAACAAATATTATTTCATAATGTACACTTAATTTCATCGAAAAGGCCAGTGGCGTAGAAAATATTTCCTACCAGGGGTCCAGGTACCCCAGTTTCTACGTGCCTGGTTTAGTTTGAGCCGGGAATGTTTGTGTGTTAATTGCTGATGGTCTGCTCACTGAACGTCTGAAGTCTTGCATCTCAGTATATTCACCCGCTCCGTAGATATATCATTTACAAATTTCGTAAATGAATCTTCATCATCCTGTATCTCGGTAGTGGAGCGTCTTTGGATTCATATTTATACGAACTTAGTCTTCGTCTTTCTGAAGCACCCTGTATATTGTTTCGCGGACTAATCGAATTGTCTTGATTGAACTACATCAAGTATGCACAGTGTTAGGAAATTTTTGAAACTGCACATTACCTTGCCATTCATTATGTGTATTTGTGTTTTGTCATGAAGAAAAGCTTTAAGTGTAGTCTAATAAAATGTTGTCACAATCAAAACAAATTCATATTCTCCCTGCTTGCTCGGACTTTCAAAAATCAATAAACACGTTGACAAACTTTGTCAAATTTCGATCGTGCAGAACTGGCCGTTTTTTTGTTTATAAGGTGTCTAGATTGTGGAATAATCTGCCTGAGGAGGTTTTATCAGGTTCTACTGAAGTTAGGCAGTTAAAAAGGCGGAATAACAGGGTATCTTCAAGTTCCTTAGCAGTCGCGTTGCGTAGATAAGTTTCTACCTAAACATCTGTATAAAAAAATGTCAAGGTAGTAGCTCCTTGATCGTTTGACTTTAACGTGTATCTCATACAAGATCCTCTTTTGTGGAATGCTAACAAAAAATTATTCTTTGTTCCTCGCTGTTCCTCCTGTTGGGTATCTCGTTAATATGAGCTTCCTGTCGCCTCCTTTCTTTCAAACGCTTAAATTACAGGTGTGAATCAAAATGGATCATAAAAAGCTCGAAAGCATTATATTCCAATTTTACGATTAAAATACAAGCTGGCGCGGGAGATAATAAATTTCCAAAGTTCAAAGATTCCGATTCAATGACTACGCATCACCGCTCAGAAACGTGCTAAATTGTATCTTTTTGTCGTTCCCCATTGTAGGCCTTCCCAATTTCCTAGAAATGTGGTACAAAAACGCTTCTATCTCATGGTCTTTAAAAGTTAAATGTCCGATGTATACCTCGTTTTTGTCGTTTTAAAAACCAGCCTCTCAGACAAGAACTGTAGCAGAGCCGTAACTAGTTTGCAGCTTATTAAAATAGTATCAGTAATGAAGTGTAAGTTACTGGGATTCCTACGTAGCTGGAATGTTTCTTTTTTTTGTAACAAACTGCTCCAGGGTTATTTTATGATAAACTACGTTACAAAAATATTAATGTTGTACGTTTCCTAAACATTTATCTCAATAATCTGGGAATATTGGTACCTTTAATGATTTCGGAAATACCTTTGGTTTCAAAGACGTACGGAAAAAGATTTATCGATTTCACTTTTATAGTTGTAGAGGAGTCAAGAGTTAGCGGACCCCTCGGTAGCTCGGTGTTGTGGAGGTTAGGTTTCGGTCAGAACCCGCTGTGCAGCAGAAACTCTTTCAGGCCGTAAAATTTGGCATTACGGACATGCCAACTGAGAGGGCCACCTTCCCTTGGAGAGATGTTTGTTTCGCTAACACAGATCCTGTCTGTTCATCGATAACCATCCACGTTGGGATGGAGGAACAGATCCTTCTTACAGTGAAAGTGCCTAAGCCAGGGTTCAATGCCAGCTTCAACAAATCGTGCGACACTGCTCACTGAACGTCACCCAAGTGCCGTCGATTCAAAACTACACTATGCAGGAGCTCCTGGACTACCTCGAATGTCACGGCTTGATTGGTAACAGGCAGTATGGGTTCCGGCACCAGCGATCCACAGAGGACCTCCTAGCTTCCATCACGCAATTGTGGAGTGAACTCATCCAGTCTTATGGTGAGGCTCATGTCGTTGTTCTTGATATAACGAAAGCTTTTGATCAGCTGTGGCACGCTGCCCTCTTATGAAGGCTTCCATCCTATGGCCTCCCAGAGAAGCTTTGTAGATGAGTGGCTGACTTTCTCTCTGACCGCAAAATATCCGTCGTAATTGACTGGTTCTCCTCTTTATCCAAATACGTCAACACGGGTGTTCCCCAGAGATCGGTCTTTGCTCCGGCACTGTTCCTGTCACATATCAATGACCTCCTTCCTGTACGATTAACACAATCCACAGCAACCAGCCTATCTCTGCCGGTAAGGTGGATGACTTCCTCTCTGACGAGAGTCCTGGAGGTTATCTCTGCTTGGAGATGCAACAATCTTGTACAGTTTAATGTTTCCCAAACACAGTACGGTACCTTGATGAATAAAAAGCGTCCTAGCTCTCATCCTGTTTCGATGGATGGCCGAGTTTTGCTAGAGAGCCGTTCATTTCGGCTGGTCGGAGTCCAGGCCACCGAGGACTTGTCCTGGCACGAAAAAGCTAGGCTATTTGTTTAGTGCTAAGACATAGTTTCCTCCGCATGGCTTCCTCCCTCTATACAAAGCCCATATAAGACCTAGCCTCGATTATTGCTCACACGTTTGGTGTGCTGCCGCCCCGAATACATTGTTTATGCTCCATGCTGTCCACAGGCTGTCCGATTGATCGATGACTCTTCTCTAACAGACAGTCTCGGGACCCTTTCGCACCGGCGGGCTGTCGGCGATCTAGCTTTCTTCTACCGCTATACCAACGAGCTCTCCTGCGCCATGTGCCTGCCAGACAGACCCGCCTGATTTCCGAACACGATACGACCGCTTCTTTATCCCGAGGGTGTCAAGATTCTTAAATAAACTACAAGAGAACGTTATCGTCAGTTCTACTAACCTTAGGCAGTTCAAAAATCGGATTATCAAAATTTCTTTGGGATCCTCATAACAGCCCCGTGTCCTGCCATTTAGGCTCCTGCCTGCGCGGCTGCTTTGTTATAAAAAAAAATAATATAATATAACCTTCGGTACGTTTTGAGCAATACCTTGTGGTGCAATTCCTTTGATTAAGTAACCCTCGGCTATCTGAATCTGAAATTCTATCATGTTATGATATAATACAGCCCGCAGTTGTCCTTGACCAAAGATAATAGCAACGAATCCTTTTAACGATATTAACATGGAGTGTATTATCCGAGTCGTACAATTATTATTAATCCTCAGCACGTAACCACAGGAATGGTATGACGAACATCACAAGCGCAGGAATTCTAAAATACAGACTACTTCTAGTAATGATTTTTGTGAATACCAAGACGAAAGTATATTTGTCTCCGTGGGATGCACATATCCGTATATTTCAATCATAACATATTTGTTTTTTAGGTACCGATAAAAAATCTGGACGTACAAAAGAAAATGGAGATTTAATGGAGAAAAATGCTTTGAATTATCTTGCTTATGCTTTGCATTTTACTTTTTATTAATTCTTCATTTGATTTGTGAGGTGCATTCAAGAAAGGATCTGGCATAATTTGAAACAAAATTGACTTTTCGTCAAAATTGTCGACATTTATTGAAAAATGTTTTTAACTCAATCAAATCGAAACGTCTGATGGCCATTCGAAGATTATCAATCAATTCAATTTGAAACCTTTATTTAATGTACACATGTACAGATGTGATGCTTTTGGCTTATATACAAGTGGTGGCCAAAAATGAAACACACATAGGACCGCGTTTTAAGGGGGGTCTTCTATGAAACATCTTTTCTTTGATCGTTTCATTAAGAAGACACGAGGTGTTGAAGTTTAAAAATAAAAAACATTTTTTAATATCTTCAAAACCTTCAACTGGAATAAACTAAAATTTGGTATGTGGACTTACCTAAGTATTGTCTACCTTTCCAAATAAAAATAGTACGCAATTGTCTTTTTTTTTCAAAACGCGCAATTGTTAGAATTTCACCTTCAACTTGCTACAAATAATTACTGTTGTGTTTTTTTCCTAGAGCGCATTGTTTTCGAAAAAATAAAAGTAAACGAGTTAGTAAAAGGAAATCTACGTTGATACTCCCGAAAAGCCACTAAAGCATTTCCATTACAGAACCCGTACACAAAAGTAATATTGGCGTACTCATCATTGTTGAATTCCATTTGACAATACTCAAAAATGGAAACAGGAGACTTTTGACTTGACTTTAACAACAACAACAAAATGGTAGTAGTAACGATAACAATCGTATAACACGTATCTTTGACAAACTATCTCCCAAGAAACGTCAAGTTCTATCGAATTTGTTTTATTTTTATTTTTACTAGAGCAGTGCACTCTAGGAAAAAAACACACGAGTAATTATTTGTAGCAAACTGAAGGTAAAATTCGAAAAATTGCGCGTTTCGAAAAACAATAGTGGCATACTATTTTTATTTGGACAAATAATGCCACTAATCCCCTGTATCTCCGCTACTGGGGCACGTTAATTTTAAGTAAAGACTTGAACGTGGAAAATACTTAGATAAATCCGCATACAAAATTTTAGTTCATTCCAGTTGGAGGACTTGAAGATATTAAAGAAAATTGTTTTTTTATTTTTAAACTTCAATCTTTTTAATGGAGCCCTTGAGGAAAAAATGTTACATAAAGGACCCCCCTTAAAATGCGGTCCTGTGTATGATGTTTCAGTTTTGGTCACGAATCACCATGTTTAAAAATGGAAAACAAAAATATGTATACGTTCAAAATAAGTACTTAGTAGGAAAGGGTTGAAATACGAGGACGCGAATAGGGGACGTAGGATAAAACCTTGTTGCAAAGTATTATTAGCATAATGCGATACCATGCTGAGGACCCTTGAATTTTGGAGTATTTGACACCACTGGCTTCGCTGGCTGATTGGATGATCTACTTTGGTCAAAACCGGGTTCACCGATTGTGCCTGATACACCCTGTCCTTCTGTAGCATCTCCCAAAGTTTGTCATCTGAGATGCAGTAGGGAACCTGTCCAGCTCTTTTATATTCAAATATTTCTTCAATTGCCCTCTTTGCTTTCATGATGGCTGTGTTTTGCTGTTTGGATCGTTTCGCACGATCAAATCATCTGAGTATTGTGGCATCGTTTGTCCTGCAATGTCTTCTACCGGCAGATCAGCAACCTGTAGGTTCCACAGGTAGGGACCTAGAATAAATCCCTGTAGTACTACGTAACATTGATGGCATATTGTTGTTTTGGCATGATTGTTTTTGCCTCTTATTTGTCGGATGAGCAAATAGTTTTTTATAATTTCGATTACATTGCTAGGGATGTCCGTTTGTTGTAACTTATAAATAAAAGCACTATGAGTAATAGAGTCAAAGGCTTTTGAAAGGTCGGTAGTAACCACTGCTACGTAATGTCATTGTTCAAGGGCATCTGTTGGAATTTGAATTTAAACAGAGTTGAAAATTCTTCCAAATTCATATAGGTAGAGGATCAAAAAGTAGGTGATCCGTATCTTCTTCCTATGAAGATACAATGGCTCAACAGACTCAAATAAGATATTGGCTTGATTAAAGCAACTGTTGATGTTACCTCTGATATACACATCACGAAAACAGATGCTTCCAGATAATTACGCAGGCAATGGGTGATATGCATAAAGGCGAGTGGGTTCTCAGAAGTAGCTACTCCATATTGTAGCGAGTAACTACTCCTATTAGGGAGAGCCTACTCGGTTTTGATATGCATAAAATATTTATCGAGAAACGGAGAGGCTACTCAAGTTCTAATTAAATACTTGAGTAGGCACTCTGGTTTTCGAGTTCCGACTTGTATTTTGTTGTCTCGTCGAATTGGCAATTTCTCTATTGCGAGCAGTTACTACTGTATACCGGTAAACGTTTGTTTCGGTGGTGTTTAGGTCGATTATATCTATTCTGAAGACCATTCATCTGAAAATTAAACAGTATTTGTTAATATAATTGAACAGTATCCTGTTTTGTTGGAAAAATCTAACATCCCGGAAATCAAAAATAAACGACGTAAGGCGGCTGAAGAAATAAAAGAAAAGGTAGAAGCCGAATTAGGAGTTAAATATAACGAAGGGCAGATTTGTAAGAAGATTCAAAACATAAAAACCAGATTAAAAGCGAAGGCAGACAGATATCGAACCGGAAACAAACCAATAAAATTGAAAGGATGGGAACAAGAACTGTTCAATTTTCTACAAGGAGAACCAAATCCTAGTATTGCTCGATTGCAATGTTAGTTGTATTTTTTTGTTTTTCCATACAGTAGGTATAAGATGTGATTGAGTATAATATATATACATGTCAATAAATATAAATAGCATATATTTTAAATTGTAGGTGCTGTTGTGGCAGGTCGCCCACAAAAAAGCATTGATTACACTCGAACAGCCTGTGCTGAAGAAGAAACAATCACCGAAGAAGCATCTGGAAGTTCAGGACCAGTACTGAAACCTACCACAATGAAAGCCGGACCCAGTAAGGAGCCTTCTAAAAAAAAGGAAAACGGATTAGTGGAAACTGATCAAGCACGAGATTTATCAATAACAGAGCTCCAACGTCTCGTTTTACTTGAACAAATACAAGTGCTTAGGCTAGCTAAGGAACTGCTACTTCACAAGAAAAATATTAATGAATCTGATCCAAAGTTATCAACTTTAAATGAAAGTGCTGAAACTGGCAATCCAATTTTCATGAGCCTATTTCCAGAACAGAACTGACAAAAGTACTTCATGTTTCATAAATGTTATTTTTTATTAACTTTCTCTTAAGTTGCCATTTTGAAAGTGTTATTAATTTTGTTATGATTAATTAAACATCGTTCTTCAACGTATATCTACATAATTTGTAAATTTGGATCATGCTAGATACTTACTTAGACCCGACAGCCATGAATAATTCTTGATATTGCATCTCTTCTAAATTGACCTCTCTGACGTATCACTCCATCAGCATAGTCAGCACCATGTTGATTATGGATTTCTTCTTGTTCGCCATCTCCCGGTATATCAACAGCGAAATCTTCATCATTAAGGTGCTTAGCCACATTATGCAAGATAAAACAAGTCATGACAAGGGAGGGCAAATTTTTCTGTATCGACGCGTATTTTGTTATGTGGAATGGGAAATCGCTGTTTTAGTTGCCCGAAACATCTCTCTATTATAACTCGCTCTCTCGTAAACAGCCGATTGTATGATCTTTGTTCTGCTGTTTCTGCAATCCTAAAAGGAGTCATGAACCAAGGAGCTATAACATACCCAGAGTCTCCCAACAAAACAGCATTAGCCCTATTCCATTTCATATATCAGAATTCTTCCATATCCGGGAGTCGTGTACAGATCCTGGCCAAGAAACACCCACACTTGTGAACACTTCGTTTGAATTGCACGTTGCTTGTACATTTATACTAGCAAAGTTCTTTCTGTTCACATATTCGTCTGCATGAATAAACGGGTTCAGAATAGGTATATGGGTGCAGTCGATAGCACCAATAGCTGAAGGAAAATTGAACTTTTCTTGCCACGCATCTTTAGCATTAAGTAGATCTTCACATGTGGTTGGGAATCTAATCCAAATGTTCGACTTCTGCACAATGCGTGTTATAACGTTGGAAACGGTTCGGGATGCCGTAGATTGATGGACACCAATAGCTTCTCCTATGCCAATTTGAAATCCTGGATCACCCACATATCGTAAAAAAAACCTCATTCTTTCTATATTGCTCAAAGCACCGCCCCTATATTCTTCTGCCTCTCCAAGAAAATGGTAACTTATCCACTCAACATTAACTTTACTAAACCGATATAAGGCCCGATACTCTACTTCCTTTAATTCCCTACGATCTTTAAACACCTTCGTAGGCTGATAAGTAGGCATAAATTCGGCCATTTCGTCCACTTCTTATAAAGCTGAGTCTACTACTTAGGTATCTCGCATTTCTTTAAGTATGCACTCAGCGGTCAGAGTGGACGCTCACTTTTATGCATATAAAAATTGAAGTCGGCACTCAAGGAGCGAGTACAGCCTCACGGAAAGAGTAGAAACTTATGAGTGTGAGCTTCTACTTACATTTTTATGCATATTAAATGGAGTGGCTACTTTAAAAATGCGAGTCAAAAGTAGCCACTCGCCTTTATGCATATCACCCATTATCTGCATGACATGATGGTGCGTAAGAGAGGGGCACTGCCTCTACACGATAATGAGTGATAAAGGTGAAGATGTTACGTACGTTGGCACATCATTCGTTTTCCACTCATTTTCAAATATTCCAACCTGTCAAACAACCTGGGACAATCAAACTAACAAAATGATAAATATGGACAAAATGTTTAATAACAATTCGCTTTCCAACAAACCAAAGAAGTTTACATTCAGTATTCATTACGGTTTGTTTTACCTAGAGGAGTGTCATTTCTCTTTAGAGGAATCTGTTAAATAATGACGATTTCACAAGTGAGGAGTGGAAAAAAAATCCGTCCTAGAATTGTTGATCAAGCATTATCTTTTTAATATACAAATGCCTATTTCTGGGCTATTTTTAAAAGGAATACGAGTACATTAAGAATTTCGAATATATGACAGCTTGCTATCAAGATTGCAACCCTAGAAGTGACCACCCTCCAAATACTCGTATTTCTCGAATGTCAGTATGGTGTGCGGTGAGGAATTCCTTGACGGACATGAACGAGGCTACCCACGAAGCGCCTCTCACCTTACTCTGTCTCCATCGTACCCCCACTATCCTGTCTCACAGTCGTTCTTCAGCTCTTTAGTCTATGGTCTACCGGTCCAGGCCGCCCGCATGATGCGGTCCATTTAGTTTATTTTGGCTGGCTCCGGCTTGCCCGATTGTAGTCCGATACTAAGCCGAATTCTCAGGTTACTCTCTTCTCATGCTCCTTCCATCTCTTTTTCTCGGCCTCTTTGGTCGCACCGATGAAATTCGCCATAGCCCGGAATATTATTACCACAGCTAGTAGATATCAACGCCAATATAGGGGAGCTTATATTGAGTTTTACGGTGCACGGTGGGATATTAAATAAACCATAACGTCAAGACGGTTCCCATTTTGGACGATTTCTCCAAGTTCTTCATCATGCTTCTACATCTTTTACAAAATTCGTGAAGTTTTACCGTCAGTAAATGCTAGAAAATATGATAAGTAAGTCAGGTACATCAATTGAACAAGTCGTTAAATCAACAAATAATCAGTTTTGTTGCCTGTTTCCTTGATATTGCCCAACATTGAAACGTAATAAGATTTAACTGTATGAGTACTAATGAACATAGTAATGGTAGTAGCAGTAGTAATATGGCGACGAAACCTGACAAGTATGCCATCTTTAACCCTTTTTGCAGACCCCGTTGTACCACATGCTTGCCTACTGGTAAGTAGAATAAACCAGTTTGAAATGTAACTTACAAGTGCGGGGTTCGAACCCGCGAGCCTTCGACTGGATGTACCAGCAGCTCGATGCCGTTCCATGGCTACTCAGCCCCAGCTAGTAAACGTAGTCATTAACGTTATTCGTGTAACTATCCCAGAACCGTTCGGGCACGCGATTGGTTATCGAAATTCGATAGGCTACTAAGTTCAGAACGGTTCTGGGTATCTCGAATGAAAATATTGCCTTATATTCACTATAATGGGACCTAATTAGCGATCAAATATCTTAATCGCAAAAAACTTTGTTAATGTGGTATCACGTTTTTTGGATGTTAAATGACATTGTACATCACGAAAATGTCACTCAATTTTGAAATTACTGCTCGGATTTTGATGAAATTTTCACACAAGGTTACTACTATGTCAGGAACGGAAAAGCTTTGGAGTTTTTAATAAATTGGCTCTTCCTCGGTGGATCTAGGTACGAGTACAAAAGACGAAAAAATAAAAATCTCTCAAACTTCGTTCTCTAATCTCTCTATAGGTCATTGCTCGTCAGAGCGGTTCGTGGGACCTTCGCTCTTGGTTAAAGTTCTGTAGGTCAGTAGGTCTATCAGGTCTGGTTGCCTAGATACCAAAGTCAGAAGGGAAGAAGAAAGAAAGGAAGGGAGGAGGGAGAATAAAGAGGAGGAAGTGCGTCTGTTGGAGGGGCGCCTTGACATTTTTTAAGCTAGTATTCAGTAATTTTCAATTGATCCAAAATTAATTTAAGAATTTGTGTGTGAGAAAAATTGTAATTTGGGTTGTGCTTAGAATTTCACGATTTACTTTTTGAGAGGCAACAATTGGGGGTTTTAAGTTGCATAGGGTTGGGGAGGGTTATCTCAATTTTTTATGCGCTAGCAACACTGGTAGCTTTGGGCACATATTTTACACATAATTATATAGGTCTGTTTGCCTTACTTCGTCAGTGTGAATTATTTTTTATACACGTTCGTTGCTGACCGTTTTACTTTTTTCTCAGAGCTTACTTCTGCTGAACATAGTCCTTTATCAGCTGTTTACAACGCTGCGTGGCAAGTGCAAGGTTAACCTCCTTAAAGCCATTTTTCTAAAAAACAGTAATTTACTAAATATAATAATCAATTTATATAATAGAGTAATTCGGTTAGCACAGATCTAAATATTTAATACTTGACACATGTATGCTTGACTGCAGTGATATTTCTGCCCAAGCCTTGCTTCATACCGGACAGAGCTTTGAATTCCCTAGCACCCATTTATGCTTTTACGAATAAAAGGATTTGTATGTTGAAGTTCTAACCACATAAGGATTTTTCTAAAGCTTCTTATTTGTTGATACGAACGGTTATTTTTCTGTTTTAGATCCTTATAGCAAAAATTCAAGATGAAACCTTTGATTTTTCTTTCTTCTTTAGTCGGAAAGAACCGTACTAACCAAAAGTCGTACCGCATAATATTCGACGGCACTCTGAATAAGAGGAAGGTGCAGAGAGGTTGGTTATTCACGTATTGTTCTCCGGCCGACAAGGTCTTTGTTTGTGCGAGCTCTTTCAGCTGAAGGAGATTCCCAGATAACGACCACGGAGACCCTCTTTCTCTTCTTCTTTGGCCAAACTTCAAGGCGGTCTGGTGCTGCTGGAAGCACATAACAGCATCTCTGTAGTGAATAGGTAATAAGTGGAAAAATAATTAGTACGTTGGCAGGTCGAAAATAGGGAAAATTATAATCAAAGCAAACTTAGTTGGAGTACCTCTAATCAGAGCTGAATGCTCTTTCGTCACAAACTATCGAAATATGTCAAATACAACAGAATCATTGCTTTCTAAGTCACATGTAGCAACTTCACCATGGCTGATCGTATGCACTTAATAGAAACACCTTACTTGTGACTTGCTAACAAAAATGCGATTTTTGAAGCTTCTGCGTGAGTCTATTCCAGCAAAATTAAGCAGTATTTGAAAAACTGTCAAAGAATAAAGTTTGGGAATAGTTGAAATAGTTACCTATTCGTATGCATAATTGTTTGGTAATCAACGAAATAAATTACATACGGTATTTAGTGTCAAAAAATTCGGTGGTCCCTTCATCCCGAATTGTAAATTTTTGTAACTACTCATATAACGTATTTTTGATAAACTACGTTGTGGTGTACACGCAGTGGTGTTTTTGATAAAGCTATGTAATATAGTATACGCCTTAAATTAAAGTTACACATGTTCACAAAACGCGCTACCATATAAGGGTGATGGGATGTTGACAAAAAAGCAAATAATTACCGAGTAGCTAATACAATTACGGGTCCGCACTTCTAGTCCCTATTTCTGATAAACGTGTTTCGGTTCAGAGACACTTCTTCTTCTTCTAGCCTAAGGTTTAGATATCTATGTCCAAGCTATAAAAGTGGAAAAATGTAAATAAATCATACAAGCTACATCACCTCAAATAAGCGTGAGCGGCTGTAGAAGAGGCAAGCATAAAAGGGGATATACGTAAATTCCTTTGTGTATAACGTTAATCTTGAAATAAATTTGATCACATTTTTGTTATCACTAGGTCGTCGAGAGAATATTCGAGCAAAGAAGAGCACATATTACTGATGGAAAATGTCAAACACATACAAGCTTCATACTGGCCTGGGACTCCGTTAGCCGTTC